CATGGCTTTAGATGTACCGGCAAATGGTTATAACTCAATTGCAATACTTTTAAGCAACGCTCATCGTCTTCCGAATTTACAATTTTTTTTAAGTTTTCTGAAATATATTCCCAATGTTCTTTTGTGCGCTTAGACTTCGCTAGGTGTCCTCCAATCACAACTATTGACAAAGGAAGTCCTTCGCAATTTTTGGCAATCTTCTTTCCTATTTCCTCCAATTCAGGAGAGCAATCGTCTTCTTCTTCAAATACATATCTGCACAGTAGATCCCAACTCTTATCCTCATTTAAGAAATCCATCACAACGCCACCAGAGCCAATCGAAGCAACGTTTGATAGCCTAGTGGTTATCATTATTCTGCTTCTTTCACCATTGTCTGGAAAGAAGAGATTCACTTTATCCCATACCTCAACACTCCAAACATCATCCATTACAATCAAATATCTCCTTCCCCATAAACTTTGGTGTACTTTTACACCTAATTCACCTTCACTCTTCGCACTCAAGGTTTCTCGGCTCTCAGCTTTGTTTATACAAAGAAGAATTTCTACAAGAATTTCTCGCACATTGTAGTTTTGAGATACTGTAACCCAAGCTCGAATATCAAAGTGCTTCATAAACTTAAGGTAAGCATTTCTAGCAAGAGTAGTCTTACCAATGCCGCCCATGCCAACAATCGGGATTATGCGGAGATTAGATTGTTGTCCCGTGAGCTTATCCATTACTTCAATCAAGAGTTCATCAAGACCAACCACGGCGTCCCGCCTCTTTGAAGGAGAACTTGATGAACCACCAAGTGTTGAAGAATTTATGTGCAGATGATCTTCGATTATTCCAATATTCTTCTCTTTATTCTCCATCAATTCTTTCTTGATATAACCCATGTCTTGGATAACCTTCTCTAGATCTTGATACAACTCATCGGAGCTCATTTTTTCGCCAAGAATTTGATCAACAATTCGGGTTTCGATTATATCTTCCGCCGCGTGAGCTGCATCTGCAATGCGGCTTTCCAAGACATCTGCTGCTTCTCTGCTGCTGCTGCTGCCGCCACATGAATAAACTTCAAGAAAATCTTGCAGGAAATTGAGGGTGTCGGTGAGAGAATGCACCTGGTTTTGGTGAAGAGAAATTGGAGGGCGAGGATGAACCTGAATCTGTTCGATGATATGCTTGAGAGAGAGTAGAGCTGCATAGGCCGCCATCTCTAACTTGCTCTTCTCTCTGGAGTCAACAAGCAAGAATAATTTTTCATTCCAAACAAAAAAAAAAAAGAGAGAAGAAAAATCTTTTCATATATTCTGAGATCTAAAGGTTTGATTTTGGTCCACTCATTTAGTGGTCGTACATCAGTAGGGAAAATTATATTTTTTGTCCTCATACTTTATTCACTCTTTCGAAACTGTCCCTAAATATTTTAGAGTTACAATAGTAGTCCTTAATTATGCCATTTTTTGACAGAATTGGTCCGCCGTTAATTTTTGCAGTTAAGTTGGATGAAAAATAGCATGTGCCTTCAATTTACAACACTACATGAAAATTGACTTTTAACAATACGCATTGCGTCTTGTTAAAACATATTTTTCTTAATTAAAACTTGATTGAAATTCGAAATTATATAAATTCTAAAAAAATAAAATCGATATATATTGTTTTAAAATATTTTGAGAAATATTCTTTAAACAATTGAAACATTGTTTTAAAAAAGTGAAATATTGCTTTCAAAATCAAGATTTCAGGAATTCAAATGAAAACATTGTTTCAAAATAAAATAAAAATTCGATCCGAATAGGCGGGATAAGAAACCTCCATTTCAATCTTTGCCCTAATTTAATAATGTGAAACTTGATAAATTGTTACAAAATATTTTTAGAAGTATTGTCTAAAATAATAATATAATGTTTTAAAACCGGAATTTCTTGAATCCAAATGAAAATTATTGTTTGAAATAAAATAAAAATCTGATCGTAATAGGCGGAGTAAGAAAACTCCGTTCCAATTTTCACCCTTATTTAATAATCTAAAACTTCATATATTTTTTTCAAAATAAATTCAGAAATATTGTTTAAAAAATCATAATATTGTCTAAAAAATAATATTGTGTTTTAAAATTTTGGAAATTGAATGAAAATATTATTTCAAAATAAAAAAAAAAATTCGATCAAATTAGGCAGCATATGAAAACTTCTTTCCAATTTTCACCCATATTGAATGATTTAAAACTCGACATATTGTCTCACAATTGGGATTTTTGGAATTGATTAGAGGTGAAAAATGGAATGGAAATTTCTAATTCCCCAATTTCTATCGGGTTTTTTTATTTTTGTTTGAAACGATATATTTTAATTGAATTCCAAAAATGCAGATTTTGGAACAATATTTTAAAATTTTAAACTATATTTTGATTTTTTAAACAATATTTCTGAAACGAGTTGATTTTTTTGGAATTTACGTGATTCCGATTTTATATTAAATTTTAATTAAAAATAATAATTATAAAAAATATGTTTTAACAAGACGCAAGGCGTCTTGTTGAAAGTCTATTTTCATGTAGTATTATAAATTGAAGGCATGTGAGAGGCACATGCCATTTTCCATCCAACTTAACTGCAAAAATTAACGGCGGACCAATTCTGCCAAAAATGGCATGATTAAGGACTACTATTGTAACTCCAACATGTTTAGGGACATTTTTTAAAAAGTGGTTAAAGTATGAGGACGAAAAATGTAATTTTCCCTACATCAGTACCTGTAGATGATATTTTTATGGAAAATACCAAAAAGGCTCAACTAAAAAATCATGAGTTAATTGCACATAACCCAGTGTGAAAAACTCTGTGTGTTAAAAAAATTAACAAAAACCCTCCTATGTTATATTTTACACAGCACACTGCCCTTTTTTCGTTTTTCCCTCTTGACTTGGATGAAATGACAAAACTACCGTGAATTCAAAGTAATGCAAAATAAAAATATTCTACCCAAAAAAAAAAATGAATCCCTCAAAAAAAAAAATTGAAAACAAAATCCCGAAAAAAAAAAGAAAAGAAAAAAGAGGAGATAATGTACAATTGCTTCATTTTCCCGTCAAACCAACACACCGCCCACTCTTTCTGTGACGTTTTTCGATGAGGAAGACACCAGAGATGGTGTGAAGATGGTTGCCGGTTGGGGTGACGTTTGTCGTTTGATAAGATGGCCTTTTTGGAAATGGGAAGGATTGAATTGCAAATTTTGAAAACTTTTTTTTTTTTTTTTTTTGAAAACTTCATATAGAGTTTTGGTGTGAATTTGTAATTTTGGAAATTTATAATTTAACAGGTATTTTGGTCTATTTGGGTCAAAAATGCACTCTCAGTCGCACAATCCGCGCGTGCAGCACACGATAGGCTGTTAAGGACCTTATTGCCTTTGATTAATTCCCAGGAGGGTTTGCTAAAATTTTTAACACAGGTAATTTTTAACAACTCGAGATTACACAGGGGTGGTTTTTGCAGAAAACCCAAAAATTCATATATCAAAAAAATCAGACAGTGAGGTCCTCACTTTCAAAACTTTTCAAGTTTGCCCAAAAGATAAAAGTAATAATTATATACATCCTCCTAAAAAGATAAAAGTAATAATTATTTGGGGGCTTCAATGCCCAAAGCCGAAGTACAAAATTCGGAATCCGTTGCCAGAATGGCTTCTGTTTCGGCATTGAAGCTCCCATTTATTTGTTTTCGTTAAAAAATATTTATCAATTTATCTAGTTAAATACTAACGTTAAAATAATAGCTCTGTAATACTTTGAAACGTAAAAATTTAAAACACATGAAGTTGATCATCCTGTAAGGATCATTGCAGAGTACATGCTGCTAGCTAGAGAGAATATAATGTGGAAGAATGAATAAGAATACGTAACTGCCATCGACTTTGACTTTTCTTCCTCTTCGTGGTGCTCATCAGCCTTAGCTTTTCCTATGGCATCAACGGATTTCCAGAACTTTCACACAACGGATTTCCATAACTTATCCAAGTATTGAAGATCCAGATGCTCAAGGCGTGGAAAGTGGGTGCTGTCTATCGTCCAACATTCTAGATCCCGACACCCGAATATTTGCAAGAATCTTAGGCTCGAACTCGAAGGCCGAAATTGCCAAGATCCTCTTGTTCATCCAATATTCTTTTAGCAGAAATGAAAGCCGATTGGGTAACAAGCCTATCTTCGCCTTCATGTCTTCCCATTACTGATTGGTCCCGTACAAGGTCAACTTCTTGAGCGAATTCGGGAGGATCAAGTTCTGCATCAAATCATTCTAGTTTGCCTTCTTTATTAGGGAATATAACGAGAAACGCAAGAATTCGAGTTTACATAGACGGCCAAGGTTGTTGAGACCCAACTGCTGGATTAATTCTACAAATCTTGAAAAGTTTGCAAATGATGAACGATCACGAATACGTGATCTATTTGCGGTAACTGAGTGTTCAAATTGATTTTGATTGTACAGCAACGAATAAACAGATACATTAAAGGCTGACACAATCCAGTATTTCAATTAGATTATCTTAATGAAACAGAGGAAACCCGTCCGAAATATAATAAACGATGCTAGGTGAATTACTTTACGCTTCAATCAAACATAATCGATACAAACGAAAAATGAATTAACGAAAAATAATTTTTTTCGTGCTACTTTCAAAACTTTTCTTTGATCAATTTAATATTGTAAAATTGCAATACTACCACACATGGCATTGTTCTGTACTGTCACTAATACAGATGATAATTAGATTTTATATCTCTGAACTTAGGGTCAATTTACGAAAGAAAAAAATAAGGGTAAATTACTAGAAACCCTCTGAACTTAGGTCAATTTACTAAAGAAAAAAAAACCCCTCACGTATCCATAATGATCAAAACTCCCCTGAAGTTTGTAGCCGTCTTACGCAGTCCCCTTACGGTGTGAATTTTGACGGAGTCTCTTTGGTTCAAAGGAATATATCACAACAAAAATCGATTTCGTCAAACAAATCATAAATTCGTGATGTTTCATCATTTACGAGCTTTTCATGATTTGTAGAATCGAGCAGTTGGGTCTCAACGAAATCAATTAAACTGAAGCACAACATCAAAATGATTTAAGATTTAAATAAAGACACAATAGTACAATCCTTGAGTCTCTTTTTTTTTTTTTTTTGGCCAAAAAAGATTTTATTCCATATAGAAAAAAAGTACAAAGGGACCTAACACAAGGAAAAGAGTACCCCTATAACGAAGAATAAAATCCAGTTCAAATGTTAAAAAACCAACTATTACGCAAAGCCTCAAAAAGAAATTACATGAAAGAAAACCAAAGTAGAAATTGTTTACAAGCTCACACAAATGCTTCCAATAAATTAACCGGAGGCTAAATTTCACGCCAAATCGAATGACAGGAAGAAGGTATCTTCAACATAAAAACAATGAATTGTAAATTCCAACATACCAAATTGTTAATCTAAGTTCAATAAAGCGACAAGCGATCCGCTCACAGGCCTCCATTCTTCGATTTATGCTCCATGTAGGTTCATTGTATATTGCTGTAAGTCAAATTTGTGTAGGTACAACGTTAAAGAAAACAATCAAAAGTAGAAACTCAAAATCAAATGTGGATGGACTAGATGTAGACGGAGAAGATCGCAAATTTGTTTAAAAGAATTTAATCCTAAAAATAAAATTATCACTCACACACACACACACACACACACACACACACATATATATAGCAGAAGGATCATGTTATGAAGATTGAGTTCTCACCAAGATTCAACTTGAAAGTTGGGACTATTCTTACTCTACGAGTCGAAAGTCTACATTGCCAAAATCCTCTTGTTCCTTCAATATTTCTTTAGCAGAAATGACAGCTTCGTCGCTACAACGAAGCAACTGAATCGATTGAAGCGTTGATATTTCTCCAATACATGAAGGGATCTCCTTCAACTTATCCAAGAACTGAAGTTGAAGATGCTCGAGGCGCGGAAAGTGGGAGCTATCTGTCGCCCACCATTCCAGCTCACTACACATGTGGATTAGCAAGAATTTAAGGTTGCAGAATTGCCCTTCAACAGTTTCCCACTCGGTCCCCACAAAAGAATATTCCTTCAGTTTGAGGACTTGAAGATTGGGTAACAAACCTATCTTTGTGTTCATGTCTTCCCATTTGAGCTTGGTCCCTATCAAAGTCAACTTCTTGAGGGAATTGGGGAGGATGAAATTCTGCACCATATCATTCAGGGATGGCTTATTTTCGGAATGAAGGGAGAAACGTAAGGACTCGAGTTTATGTAGATGGCCAAGATTGTCGAGAGTGTAACTCAAAAATTCTTGAGGTTCCTCAAAGTAAGATATTTGTAATTTATTGATATTGGGGATTCTCTTGACCACCTCTTCTCCACATTTGAATTTGAGTATATCAGTGAGCGTCTGTAGGTTCCCCAAAATAAACTTGTCATCTTTCCCAACGATGGGAGGTTCAGGCAACTCAAGTCCATCGAAATGAACATGCTTAAGTTGAGTCATGTTCCAAATTTCACATGGTGCAACAACGCCAAAGATACCATTTACAATTAAAGTCTGTAGATTCCAAAGGAGATTGACTGAAGAAGGAAATCTGGACCTCCTAGGCCTGTCAGATCGGATAGCAATGAACCTCAGGTTAACTAGCCGAAAGACAACATCTACGGAATATCCGTATTGTCTGATGTTAACGAAATATGACTTTTTATCATCGGCTTTCAGCACCCTCAACAATCTAAAATCAAGTAATGGTAAACGTTCTTCAAAATTGCAAATCGGAGAACGAACAAGAGGCACATACTGCAACGTACGAAGAACTGGATCAAGGTGATAATCCTTCTCCGACATGCTTTGATGAATACAAATGCGGCGTTGGGTATTTATGCCCTGTGGAATGGTAAGTTCGTGCGGTCTTCTGACATAAAGGAACTTCTCTCTCTCAGCTTCTCTCAAGCATAGTTCCCTCAAGAGATCATGGATTTTGCAAAACTTTATATTTCCATTAGACCCCCTTTTATGAACTAAAATCAAGTTTCTATCACAGAGCTCCTGCAAGTACTCTCTCGAAACCACTTCCAAGCTTTTGCCGTTAATTGGTTTCACAAATCCTTCAGAAACCCATAGTTTTACGAGCCACGAGACACGGATCTTTTTGTCCTCAGGAAAAACTCCCATATAAAGAAAACATGGCTTTAGATGTACCGGCAAATGGTTATAACTCAATTGTAATACTTTTAAGCAACGTTCATCGTCTTCCGAATTTACAATTTTTTTTATGTTTTCTGAAATATATTCCCAATGTTCTCTTGTGCGCTTAGACTTCGCTAGGTGTCCTCCAATCACAACTATTGATAAAGGAAGTCCTTCGCAATTTTTGGCAATCTTCTTTCCTATTTCCTCCAATTCAGGAGGGCAGTCTTCTTCTTCTTCTAATATAGATTTGCAAAGTAGATTCCAACTTTTATGCTCATTTAAGAAATCCATCACAACGCCATGAGAGCCAATCGAAGCAACGTCTGACAGCCTAGTGGTTATCATTATTCTGCTTCTTTCACCATTGTCTGGAAAGAAGAGATTCACTTTATCCCATACCTCAACACTCCAAATATCATCCATTACAATCAAATATCTCCTTCCCCATAAACTTTGGTGTACTTTTACACCTAATTCACCCTCATTCTTCGCACTCAAGGTTTCTCGGCTGTCAACTTTGTTTATACAAAGAAGAATTTCTATAAGAATTTCTCGCACATTGTAGTTTTGAGATACTGTAACCCAAGCTCGAATATCAAAGTGCTTCATAAACTTAACGTAGGCATTTCTAGCAAGAGTAGTCTTACCAATGCCGCCCATTCCAACAATCGGGATTATGCAGAGATTAGAGTGTTGTCCAATGAGCTTATCCATTACTTCAATTAAGAGCTCATCAAAACCAACCATGGTTTCCTGCTTCGTTTTTAAATGAGACCTTGATGAGGCAGCACCAGCAAGAGTTGAAGAATTTATGTGCAGATGATGTTCGATTATTCCAATATTCTTCTCTTTAATCTCCATCACATCTTTCTTGATTAAACCCATGTCTTGGATCACCTTATCGAGATCTCGGTACAAGTCGACGGAACTGATTTTTTCCACGACATCTAAACCAGCTACGACTTTCTGGCTCATTGACGGAGATCTTGATGAACCAGCACCACAAAAAGTGGACAAAATCCTGGGCAGACGATCTTGCCTTCTAGTATTCTTCGTTTTTCGGTTATATCTTTCGACAAAATCCTGGGCAGACGATCAGTGGCGGATGTAGGTCTAGGGTGTGCAGTTGCACACCCTTGATGTTCAGTAAATATTACTATTATACATGAAATAAAAGAAAAGGCAGTTGGTTGAAGTGGTAAATATATGTCTTTTTTTATTAATAGGTCATGGGTTCGAAACCCACCCTCACAATAATGGAATTTGTTTGAAATCTTAACATTTTTCAACTTTTTGGTCTTTAAATATTTCCACAATTCACCTAAAATTTATAAATTATAAATTTTTGGTCCACTATTTTTATAAAGTGATATTTTAATTTTTTTTTCTACAATTTCGAACCCCTTGGCAAAAATCCTGGATCCGCCACTGCAGACGATCCACCAAGAATTTGATCACTAACCCAGGTTTCGGTTATATCTTTCGACGCTTGAGCAGTCGATTCAGTAAGAATTTGATCAACAACATGGGTTTCGATTATATCTTCGGCTGCATGAGCTGCTTCTGCAATTCGACTTTCAAAAACATCAATTGCTGATGCCAACACAAGGATATCCCTGCTCAAGAAACTCTTGTAAGAAAATGAGGTTGTCGGTGAGAGATTGGACCTGGTTTTGGTCAAGAGAAAATGGAGGGCGAGGGTGATGCTGAATCTGTTCGATGATATGCCTGAGAGAAAGTAGAGCTGCGTAAGCCGCCATCTCTCTCTCTCTATCTCCCGAAAATCGAATTGGTTTTCAGAACAATTCTTGAGGTTGAGAATCAAGAAGAATCAAGAATCACTCCATCTTTGCTCAAGGATGGAGTCCTTTGTAGTACTATAGTATGAATGTATCTTACGATAATAAAAAAAATGCGAGAGAGAAAATGAATGGTGTACAGAAATGGAGGCAGCAATGGTTGACTAGTCATGCGTGATGAAAGTTGAAAGGAGAAAATGGTGGGTTAATGTCATGTCTAACTCAAAGTACAATTTTGCCCTTCAATTGGCACGTGATAATCACATGGGTGAAAGTACTATTAGGCGAAGCAAGCACATATATACATGGATGTTTGTGTGATTGTGCGCAGATCAACGGTTAATAATCATCCGGTGTATTTCACCAGGTGTAACATCAAACAAACGGTGAATGTACTGTTAGGTGAAGGATTAATTTCCTTTTCGAGTCCATATTTTAACACTAGATTTTGATTTTCTAATGCCAATATTAATAATCGGGTGTTGCTATTTGCAGCGGGGTTAACTGAATACAGCGGAATCTTTTTCATTTAATTTTTTTTTTGTAAATTTACTCTCCTACTCCCAAACTCTCTCAAGACAATTGAATTTCGGAAATTTTTTCGACTTTGAATTCACAGCAAACGAGGCTCGATTCCGGTAATAGAACGGAGAATTCAAGTTTTTTGAACTTCCCGTTCTGCAAAGCACGGAAACTTAAACTTTCTTCAAGTTTTCATGCTCTGTGGAACGGGAAGCTCAAAAAACTTTTAAATTTTTATTTTCGGAAAAAAAATTAAAATATGAATCCCCCGTGCTGCAGAACACGGGAACAACGGGAACTTCATGTTTTAATTTTTTTTTTATTTTTTTTTAAATATCGAATTTTGTAATTATTTAAGGAACATGATAACACATATTCGGATTATTGTACTCGTTTGAATATTCATCGTCAATTTTTTCGTCAAAATCACCATCATCACCCTACCAAAAAAAAAAAACCTATATTCCCATCCCCTAGAGGACGAGTACTGATAAGTGTTCGTTTTGCACGATTTTTGCTTATCAAATCTTCGAGTTTTGGTCTTCGTTCGTCCGAGTTTCGGTTATATTTGTATATATTATTGCGTTTCTTGTTTTATTTCCATTTTTAGGTTTTGTTAGCTATTTTGGCCGATTCGAAACAATTTTGAAAGCGAAGCCGAGAATCAAGTTAAACAAGAGCAAAAATTGCAATCAAGTGGATGGTGGCATCGTTCGGTATTGTACGCATAACTTCTTCATACGACCTCCGATTGAGCTGATTCAAATGGATTTACAAAGCCAACTGCGAGGGCTACAACTTTGATGAAATGCATTTTTTCCACATTCGGATTGAAAAATGGTCAAAACAGAGCATGAAGTTATTGCAGTGACCATATCGCCCGATACTGATGCCCATATCGTTATATGGCCTCGGGATGTGTAAAAAATATCTAAAAAGGCAAAGCTTCCTCAAGAAGCTTTGCCTTACTATAAATAGAAGCAAGCCCTCACTCTTAGAACGACGCTTCGACTTTTTACGGTTTTCGACAGTTCTTCGCGTGAATCATCAACGGGGGTTTCGACTTGGGTTTTTCTTACGCAATTTCTTTACGTTTTGTTCTTCATTTCCTTTGTGCACTCTTTTGACTCTATGTTTGTTATGAACTAAGAACATTTTCTTCTAGGGTAATGAAACCTTGTATATATTGATTTCGATCGTCATTTATGTTATCTATTTGTCGTGTTTTGATTTCGTTTATGGTTTCATGTATTAAATGCTTCTGATTGTTTGATCAGCTCTCGGATTGTTATTAAATAGGAATGAACTCGAGAGAGGATTTCTTGTTTGAAGTTAGGAAAACATATATAGCTCGGGGTGTGGAAACGGAGACGTGATGCACTTCGGGTAGCCCTTAAGGACTTGACCTAAATGCTCTCTTAATAGCAGGTTCTGAACGGAGACGTCGGACCTGTGGGTAGACTCTAACTACACTGGAGACGGGGGTTAGAGTACATTAGCGTCTGGGTTAACGAATAGGAATGTGATTTTAGACAACGGATTTGTAGATCGTTGTTGATTATACATAGGTGGATTTGGCCCTAGAAGTCCCTTTTAAATCGAAGTCCCCCCGCGTTGAGTTGTCGTTACTTTATTTACGTACATTCCATATTTGCATGTTTACGATCTTGCATGCTTATAAATTACGGTTTATCACCAATCCAAATATTTACGATCGGCTAGATAATATAACGATAATATAATTACACTACTCAGCATGTGAATCTACAAGGTCCCTGTGGATCGATATCCGGAACCACTGTTCTGCAAAATGCGATACTGTATACTTGCGTTAATTTATACGTGAGGAAAACGCGTATCAAGTTTTTGGCGCCGTTGCCGGGGAATTAGTTAATCTTGAATTTACTAATATCGTTACCAACTATCCTTGCTTTAATTTAGACATTTTTTTTTCTTTCATTATTTTTGTTTTGATTTTTTTCATTTGTTTTCCGCAGGCTTGTATACATTGATGGCCTCGATTTATGATCTCTCTCTTTGCAAGATTCAATCCAGAGCTTATTACATTCAACAAGAGTTGGAGGATATTGAAAGACATCGAAGGTTGAACCCAGAAAATGGAATTGCACAGACAAATGAGCACTTGTGCTATTTAAAAGACGAACTCCACTTTCTGGCGAATATTTTCGAAAATTTTCAGAGATGTCACATTCACAAACCACATCCGACCATCCTTTATGAAGACAACGAGGTATTTACAGATTTTCGTATAAACGATGAGGTTGAGCACCTTGAGGGAATTATTCATCCCAGTTCTGTAGATACTTTTGCGTGTGATGAGAGTGGGATGAAGATGATGGTAGAGGAACTTGATGAACAAAATCCTATCCACATTGCTACTCCGGATTTGAGTGTGAGCGAGGAGACGAGTTTCAAATTTGAGGTAGAGCTTACTCCAAAGCTCGAATATCTTGTGTACGAGTTTGAGAGATCAGTAGGCAAGCAACCCATTCTAGTCTCCTACCGACTGATTTCCAAAGCAAACGAGAAGTTCCATGGGATGGGATGGGCACTACGTGATTGCAATATAGTCCATGATATGATTGCAAAGTATATATCAAGACTGATGGATGGATTAGCAATCTACAAGGTTTTGGATTGGACATAATCCGTCCAAATTATGTCGAGCCGTCGACAGTAAACATGCGCTGATTGGGAGGCAACCCATTATTTTTTTATCTTCATTTATTTTCTTTGTTTTTGTCGTTTTTGTCGTTTTTGTCGTTTTAGCATTTTTTTGTTTTTTTGGTTTAAGCTATATTTCACCCATTTTCTTGATTTTTGCCGGTATCTCGTTCCCAAGAAAAGAAGAGTAAGAAGTCGGTGAAGTCTACATAACTCCGGCAATTCGCCCTCGGTGCTAAAATTCATGGCACCCCGTGCAACCAAAGAACACTTTCGCAACCGTAGAACACTGATCAATCTGCGGCACGACTGTTCAGGGCGTATTTCTTTCTCATTTCTTTTATTTTTCGGGCAATGCATGATTTAAGTTTGGGGGTGAGTTTAGCTTATTTTGATTTGGTCTTTTGCATGCATATCATATAATTTAGTTTCATTTATGTGTTTCGATTTCCGTAATTGTGTTATGTTTGTCACATGCATTTCATTTAGGATCGAGTGTAAGTTGCATTTCCGGATTCTATTGAAGCAAAGCAATTAATGAATTAGTAGACTGGCTAGTTGATTTTAAAATTGAAATTGTGCATAACCGGCTAATAATAGATGAACCTTCCGACTGCGTTTTTGCAACTTGTATGGATAGCCTTTCGAATCCTTTCCGATTAAGCTTGAGCGCACTTTTCTGAGGGGTATAATAGTTTGAGCTTTGGGGGGCGAGTTAGAATTGAATTATGTGTTCACAATTCGAGTTGTTGGCTAAAAGTTCTATCAATGGTCTTTTCGTCTTTATGTTATGTTATTGTGTTGTTAAATTATGTTTAAAAAAAAATTGAGAAAAACAAAAAAATATATGGTATTGTTGTGATTCACGCTCTGATTTCCCCGCCTTTCTGACTCGAGCTTAACCCGTTGGGTGCACCTCGTCGCCTAGTCTCTCGAGCTGTCAAGCTTGGGGGTTTCTTGTACTAAAGTTCGATACATGGGTCAGAGAGATAACACAGTGGTATCGAGCCTTGCACGAATCACGATTATACCCGTTTCAAAAAAAGATGAAAAAAAGAAAAAGTTGTGATGAAAATCACCAAAAAAATTGTTGTTGTTGTCAATTTTTCTATTGAATAAATAGACCTACTTATGCCCAACTCGAGTTTCTGAATTTCAGAATCAAAACTTACTTTTCATCCACATTTCTACTCAAAACCCTCGATTATTGTATTTACTGTTTAATTACGGATTCTTGAGTCTATCTTTCATTTTGGTGTAGAAACAACTAATTGCGTCGGTAAGAAAGTCGAATACCTTAAGTCGTTTGCCATTCTGAGATTTTAGGTTATCTAGCTCGTTTTATCTTTGGAATCAATTGCAATGCTTTGACCAATCTGGCAACTTTGTGGGTGTGTTGTCTGAAAACCCTCACGAGACTCAACTCGTCCTTTGGGGGTACCCAGGGGTTCAAAGGCTTGTTGCATATGCTAAATGCAATTGTGTTTCCCTACGTTAGAGGCCTAGTTTTAGTTTGTTGTTTCTATTTCCTTTTTGTTTTTGTTTCGTTTTGATTTACTCGGGACGAGTAAAGATCTAAGTTTGAGGGTGTGATAAGTGTTCGTTTTGCACTATTTTTGCTTATCAAATCTTCGAGTTTTGGTCTTCGTTCGTCCGAGTTTCGGCTATATTTGTATATATTATTGCGTTTCTTGTTTTATTTCCATTTTTAGGTTTTGTTAGCTATTTTGGCCGATTCGAAACGATTTTGAAAGCGAAGCCGAGAATCAAGTCAAACAAGAGCAAAAATTACAATCAAGTGGATGGTGGCAGCGTTCGGTATTGTACGCATAACTTCTTCA